CGGTGTAATGTAATATACCTCATTGTAAAAATCAAAACTTAGTTTGTAATTAAATTTACGACTTATCTGCAATTTTTTGTGTCGACAAGAAATATTCGTTCATCTCTTTCTGTCCAGTCTATTACTGGTGGAAATTTTGTTTATGTTCCCGACCGCCTCCATTTTTAACGTTATTTTTTTTATTTGGCTGCTAATATTAAGTAAGTACGATTATAAGATTTATGAACATTCAAAATTTAAGTGGATACGTCGAGTATGTTATGTGTAAGCTTAATAGATTTTACATTAATTATATTACGATTCAAAAGATACTTGTTCTACAATATATCAAAATGTTATATGATAATCTGTTATTCGAAATTTTATGTAAGACAATTTTCTAATTTTAAGACATTTTAGCTCCCGCACAGAGTAAGGAATAAATATTTTTTAGGGTCCAAAATTTCCATCCAGTGCATTGAAACGGTTAAAATTTGGATTGCATTATGTCATAACTGATCAGCGATGAAATGATGTGGCGATAGCGATGGCGACGAGGCGGGTCTCGTCGCGCACACCTGCTCTGTGCGGGGGCCGCGTGTGATTAGCGGTCACTCTGCGCAATGTCGGGAAACATTGATATGTACGGGAATCTTTGTTTCATACGGAAAACATAATTAGCGCCAACTATACATTAATTTCATCTCATTAGATGTGTGTTGTAAACCAGTACGATGGGCCCTCAGGGTCCGTTGCGATTCCTTTGTATAAGATTATGTGTGATAAATGTATTTATAGGATCGATGGATGACAGTCGCTAACACAAGGAGGTGATCCAGTTCCCGTACATTACTGATTTTATTTTTTGTATAAAATCGTGCCTCTTGTCTTGGCCTGTCGTCTGCAACAGGGCTGCTTTATGAATTCAATGCGTTTAGATGTAGCGCGTGTACGCGGCGTAGTGTACACTGCTAAACTGAACCTATCCAAGCTAATTATGTTTTCCTAGAACATTGCGAGTGACCTTAGATGTTGGCCAGCCGCCCGAAGGATTTAAGCGAACTCATGTGTTAATTGTACTAATTTTAGAGCCATAATTATGATTCGTGTTAGACACTGTGTTACGGGTGGGATATATTTGTCAGCTTTAAGGTTAAAGTACTCGTGTCGTACAAGTACGTAGTAGTGGACACGTACGTAGTACTCGCTGCTCCTGCACTAGTCTCGGAGGAGCGTCGAGCGGGAATCCTTGCCGCGGCGGGTGGTCGTTAAGTCTGTGTTATTTAGTTCTTGAAAGTAAAGTTAAGGCCTCTCGTGTTGCTTTGCATTTCTACGCATCGTATGTATGTATGTTTATATACTTGTAAATAGCTAAAATACGATATATTTTTACGACTAGAATACACAACCAAAGTTGTTATAAAGTGATGGTTGATTAAAAAATAAAATTTGATATAGGTCGTTACGTTTATGTACAAAGGTAAACATACAAAATTTGTATAACCGTGTGGGTACACCTATGTCTTATCGAAGCCTTTACACAACCGCCCTGATATTAGTGAAAACGAATTTATTATTTTTGGTAATGAAGTCGAATAATACAAAATTAAATTATCTAACAGATATAAATAAGAAATGGAATAATTCAGAGATGTATAGTATGAGTGTGGCTTATTTTATTTTTCGTTCCTAATAGCTTGTTCCGGGTCGTTTTGCAGTAATGGTCAATTACCGAAACCGACACGAGTGTTGTCTCGAGACACATTCGAGTCGTCATTGTTTTATTCATCGACAGAAAGCAGGCGTTATAAGTACATTACATTTAAGTTGTATTTTTTTGTACATTTTAGATTCGAAAATATATTAATATCTAAATGATGAGTGGTTTCATTTCTACACAAAACCCGATAAATATGTCCTAAGCATTGTATGTGATGTGAGGTACGAAAACGGGTCGTGTTATGCACTTTCAACTGGGTTAGTTAGTATCAATTATCATTAACAGGTCGAAGCTCACTTTCGATGGCGGCCGGAGCCGTGCCCGAGTGCTCCAATAAATTAGTTCACATTCGATCATTGTCGAGACCGCCCCTACAACCGACTCCTTGTTATCCTGCCATTAACTTATTTTTTTTTCTGCAATTAAAAATAATAAGTTTGTATATGACTTCAATTATGTATTCAATTGCTATTTTCGCAGTTTTGTGTATAATGGTTTTGAATTGGCTTGTGTTTAAGTTCAGGAAGAAGTATTTCACAAAGGTAAGTGTATTTGAGTATTTTGATATTTAAATATTTTTGACCTAACAAGAAATATATGGTAAACCATAGCAACAGTATATAGGAACTAACTAATGATCAATTAAGAAGACATTTTCTAAGTCGCATCATATGTCGCCTGCTCATTTAGACAATAGCAAATTTTAATCGAACATTGATATGATTTGCTGTGGTCGACGATAAAATATTGGCATATCTCATTTTTCTTCTTTAAGAAGGGAATAATTTAATAAGTAACTAGCTGTTGCTCGCAACTTCGTCCGCGAACAATTAAAAAAATGTAAAAATACAGCCTATGACTGACCACTGATGACTTTGCTTTTTAATGGTGCAAGTATTTTTGAAATCGGCCTAGTAGGTTTGAGTGCAAAAATCCAGAAATCCAAAACTTTCCTTTTTTTAACATTAGCCTAGAGGTATAGATTAAACGAAAAAAAGCCTAATGAAAGATATGATGATATGATATTTTACTCGCTTTTCGTTGTTGATGGCTCTACCACCGCAACCAGAAAATGCCTGTTCTAATAATAGTATAGTGAAGTAGATTATACTAGCATATAACACCATCAACAGAACTAACAAATACTCTGGGAAAGAATACTAAACTTCTGTTCGTACTTACAAAAACATTGCCCTTTCAGTCGAACAAAAACTCGACGTAATTTTATATCAGTACATTTCGACCAATACACGGCTACATAGCAAGATTCAGCTCCGTTGACCTTGCCAACAGTTAATAGGTTCAAATTAATACACCGTGTTTTAATAGGTAAGGTAAACTAACCATCGAGTTAAAGCTAAATTACTGTGAAATTACCTCATTCGCACGTACGTACCTAAATTTAAAATTATTTGCAATCTTGTAAACACAATATTCCTAAACGATATAAACAAAATCACATATCAAATTCAAACATTTTCATAAGAATAAAATGTAATCATTTATCAATATTTTGAGTAAATTTAGAAGGGAAGGATACGAAAACCCGTTCTGTAATCCGCAACCTCTGCCTTGTACAATTTCTTTAGAGGATGCTATTACGCGCTTGCTTTTAAATAATATATAGACATTTTAAAAAGAACAAATTTGATTAGATGTTGATGAAAATGTTATTCTTGGTAATTTCAATGGAGGGGTATTGCGCCAAACGCACGGGACCCGGGAGTTAACTGGAACAGGGCTTCCCAGTCAGGACGCGCGCGGCCGTTCGCACGCACGCATGCGTTACCTCTTGTCTCCTGTTGTACGTTAAACGTTTTTACGGCGCTTTTTCATTCTACAACGTATTTCGTGCGTCATAAATATTATATTTATTTGTACTGTAAATATAACTTAGTATCGACACGATTATTTTTATTACTAAGTTAAGCAATAAATTATATAGTAAATTATGTTAAAATTATTCTAAAAGCGTACGGTGTATGTAAACATAAGTGCGAAAAACTATCACTATGTCTTGGAGCTGTCCGTGGTCCAAAAGCCGACAGCAGCAAGTCGCTGCCACTCCTGTTTTGCAGAGTGTAACGCAGGTTTGTATTCATAGCAAATACTATAAATTTTATTTTACGGTTGTTAATAATATTTTAATAATTTCGGTAGCTAAGTGCTCAACTAACCATGTAACTTAAAATATTCATTTAAATTTGATTTTTAACTGCCCTACATCTTTTGGGTTGTTGCGTTATGAAGGTATTCGGATGTAATTAATTTAAAAACTTTATGTTACTAATGGGATTTCAAAAAACATCTTTACTGTTTTCTTAACATTAAAAATCAATTTCAATCGTAACTATTCATGGTACTTATGATACGCTATTGAATTGTTTATCGTCTTTAAGATATAGCCAATGAACCCATTACAAAAGCATCCTAAGTGATTCCCGGGTAACTTTTTCTATTGGAGAGTTAAAGTGGGACAATAATTGTGAGATAATTCTGGTATTTAGTTCAATAATATAACTGATTGCTTTTAATGGATTTAGAATCATGCGTGCATGTTAATGTTCTGTCCGGCTATAAAAATGTACGTGCCGCGGGTGTTCCGTCTGACTATTCTATCTGTTTAAGGACTACTCCTTCTGTGTACACTTTGTGGTTTAGTATTCATTTTATTCAATAAGTAATTCTTGACCCTGAATACTATTGTCCAAGCTTACCGCTTACCAACCTAATTCATAGAAAACAATAGAAATCCAAAACATTTTAAACCAAAAGCAATTTTTATTTTCCAATTAGAGCGTTTGCATTGAAATGTTCGGTAGTAAATTTTAGTTAAACTTAATCTACCGTAACTAAAAGCTGAAGGCATCAAAGAATATGTTAGTAACTATCTAAATTACAGCAATTATTAGTATCAAATACAAACTTTTCTAATATTAATCAGTACTCAGCTATTATAACGTTGTTACTTTGAAATGTTTGCGATGTTCCTGTCATTAAGTTAATCGTTGTTATCCCGTCAACAATGCTATGGTTACGAAATCGAGGACGGGTTTTGTGTAAAAGTAAAATTTATGGAATGACAGTGAGGGATGGGAGAGCAAGCACATCAGCTGTGCGCACCTCGGGGCACGCGGCTCAGTCGCCCGCCGGTCGAGCTCAACATCGCTCGTTCATCTCACCTGCCGTAGACGCGCATACTCATATTCCGACAGACTATTATTTCGTCTATTAAAACAATAATTCCAGCCTTAAAATTAAGTTCGGTTTCATTATTAATTTGCGAATTTAATACATTTAAAATAGTTTTTGTAGAAAAGAATTTTTTGTCAAAATACAAAAAAGAATAGCAAATATTTATTAATAAAATAATGAAGGAAAAATGCCTTGGAACTGTTTGTGGGGATACGAGTCTCCGCCGCCCGCGTGCAGGGTGAGCGAGCCGCTGCATCTCATATCGCAGGTAATTAACGTAGTATTAATCATGTTGACATATAAATTACTAATATTTAATCCATTACATAGTTTAAGAATACTTTTTGCACATAAAAAGCAAACAATGCCTGTTATACAAAGCATAAACAAACTTGCAGCAGTTAGGAAAGATCTACAGTCTTGTCACCATATATCAAGAATGTTTAATACTTTTACTTACAATCGGCGATTTTAAATACACCAACTATCGTGAATTGGTCATATGTACATAGGTTATGTACACTTGCAATATAAGGATATGATAAAAGACTAAAATTATTTGTACCTATATAGGTATCTTAAAAGTAACCTAACATTAAAAAATATTGAAAATAGTATAATACTAAAGGGATGAAACTTAAGTGATATGGGACACGAAACTCTCTTTGCCCGTTAATTAGTTAAATTAAGTTATTTAATTAATTAGAATGTAAATTATTTTAATGTTAAAATAATTTACTTGGTTGAGTTTATCAACGAATACTTCGTCAATGTTCTATCTAAATCACTTCTGTCAATAAATTAGCTACATTGATCTACGGAATCTGAAATAGTTCAATTCCGGGATTCTATCTGGGTTCTTGGCAACCGTGACATGCATATCAAGTAGCTGTGGTCAGATAACCGATTGCTAAGTCGCGTATATCTATTTAATCTTTGTAACAAATAACCTTTTACTACAATCCATCCTTAACAATGACTCAAGCTTTTCTTAACATTATAACGATATTTTAAATGTAAATAACACTAGTAAAGCTATTTTTGTCATTGACAATTTAAGCCTCTTGCCATAAATCGTTTTAAATCTGCAGAACAATAAATAAAATTGTTATTTAAAGTATGTGTGTCGAAAACTTAATCCTTGCGAACAAGAACGCACTAGTAATATATAGAATTGTAGTGTCATAACGAAGTATACTGTGTGTTTAGCGTGAATTCATAATGTAGGACGTCACTCAGGAACTGAGAAGTCGCAGGTCAGTCGGGAGAGAGCAATGTTATCGACAAAATGTAGTCGCCATGATAGAATTATCACTATAATGCACTTCTTAACCAAGTAATGTAAATTCTCACTTTATGCATAACATTGTTATTTTATGCAACATAAACATTGTGCGAAGGTTAAGTTTATCATTTGAATTAAACTTGTTATCAGTCACCTTTAACTCGACTCTTCATATGCAATTATTTAAATAAACAAAACCTGTTAATAATTATTAATAGGTTGCAATCGTGCTACTTTATGTAAGCTTGTATAGAATTGTCTTTTCCATTTAACGTAATTTTCTAAATTTATATAATTTTGACTATTAACGGGAATGTAGTTACTACTAACTTACTTTTGTCTTAACGAAATTTAATACAATATCTTTAAGATTATGTTCATTTCTTACTTGGAAATTTCATACTGTTCATAAGCCATTAAGTCAAATAACTAGCTTTAAAAACTTATCAGTTCGTAAAGTGTTCATTGATTACTTTGTTAGTGCGGGCCCCCCTGTGCAGTTATATTGCTATTGTTTTGTGTGTATGACATCATTAGTTTGCCTTGGCGAGTGTGGTTAACGGTAGAATGCTAATGTGTGATGGTCCGTTGGCCGCCGCGGGCCGACACCCGACAGCCGCCACTCCGACGCACACCGACACTGAGAGCGACTTCCCGAATGTTGCGCAAGCGCAAGTGCAGCGCCTGCGCCCACGCGGCCGCCGACACGCCGGTAAACATCGCCCCAAGTTCACTGTCAACTTAATCTATTTTATCTATTGGTAAAACAAGAAAGTAACACGTCTCGATATATTATCTGTATTGACGCATTCTTTCGCAGTATCGAATGTCACTTGTGATTTGAAAGCTTTTAGTCAATGGAATTCGTTAGCGTCGTATAACGAAGATGTTACCACAGAAAACGGCAATAGTTACTTAGATTATGTTTAGTAAAAGCGTAATAAGATGCATTCCGCATACATGTTACTATGAAGAGTACTAGTCATTTAAATTATGTTTGATGTTCTTATTTCCTTAGCGATTATATAAAAATCTAGGTTAAATGTACTAAGTAAAACTTTCTAAGTCTTATAAACAAGTATAAGAAGAATAAGAACTTAACGTCTCTTTCTTATAGCGAGTTCGAGTACTGTCTATAACTTTTAATGAGCTTTCAATGAGTTGCCGGATGAAATAGAAGTTTTTAGCATTCACGATATTTAAGCCGATAGACACATTCTTCGAATAAAATTGCGATAATGGCTGTTATTTGTTGCAGATGAGTATTGTAAAGAGTGAAGTCATTGTGCCTTGTCTATCTCGCGTTTATAAGTTAATTAAGATGGTGTGTGCGGCTCGTAGCGAGGCTATCGGCACACGGAGCGGACAATGGGGCCTGTGTGTCGGCGGCGCTTTGAGACCGAGGCCTCCATGCGATTAGTTAAATCATAATGATACGTTATTCCTTATTGTTTACATCCTTTTAAACAATGCTTATCGATTATGGGGAGATTAGTTTGTGTACTATGAGAAAAAATGCATTGCTTTATTTGTAACTTTTGCAGTCGTTAGACAAATACCACGACATTACTAAATTTTTATTTATAGTGGGCTCTATCTTGATTCACTCAATTATGCGAATAGCGAATTGAAATAAAGAGAGTAAAACATATATCTTAATTTAGATTCATGGAAAAAATAAAAGTGAAAGCTTAAAGCTCCCTTGTCCATAAAGCAATAGTTAACCGGTTGACTTTATGAATGGGACACGTAAATATGTGGCGAATGGATCTTGTGGATACGGGTCGGTAGCGGGCTAGCGGGTACAGCGCCGATCGAAAGCTCTTAGCGGGGTCCCGACGGCGCGGCGGCGGCAGCGGCGGATATACGCGATGATTTAATGTGCATTCCTGCGGGGCGCCCGCAGCCCGCAGACCAGGCGACCGCGACCGCGCCTGCCTCGGACCTTGGGAACGAGATTAAACCACATTCGTACGACGACTCACAAAGCACTTTGTCACCGCATTGTCCCATTTCTTGCGTTCTTAAGACGCTTTACTTGAAAGATTATATCTGCTTACAAAACAAAATAAAAACCTCTTTACTCTTTTAACTTGAGACGTCCAATTAAAATAAAGAAAAAAGTTTGGTTGGTATTTACTAAGTAGTTTCTATAACTGTCCCTATTTATATGTAGAAGCGATACAACAATAACAGCCAACTGGTAAGTATCCGAATTAGCTTAATAGTTGGACAATAATTTCACTAAAGCGTAATACAAGCCGGACGTTACAAAATACCGGAAGTGTCGCAAGCGTTTGTTGGCGGAAGTGGTGCGGCCGTACGGTATGGTACGGGAGATGCGACTGCAGGTGCGTAATGATGCCTCTAATGAACATGTCGGGAGCGCCACAGGCTCACATTACCGCTAATGTAGTACGTAATTGGTGCAATTTGTCAATTGGCGCAATGATCTAAAATGCCCTTTGTACGTATTTGATATAGTTCATATATCCGCGGATCGTTTTTGGTATTACATAGGTGGGTACTGCTAGTTGGTAACCTTCACATATCTATCAGATTGCGTAACTTCGTGTATTAGTGCCAACGCCCTGGCTCTATTAGCTCTAGGGATACCGGACATGATATAGAGGTAACCCCTGTGGTCTTCTTTGGCTCCTAAGTCTTTGACCGTAATTAAACAATTCACCTAAATGCACTTTCTTTACACAGTGAGAAATGGGTTAGGATTTCATCCAGTATAATCAACGTTACGCGGTCGTATACTCGGGGTACCTTGTCCTACAATCGATCAATACTCTATGATACTTATCAAAGAAATCGTTTAACTTTGTAGCAATCGTTCGGGAATCCTGCCGTTTACTGGTTTACGTGGGAACCGCGGACCACCCAACACTGTTTATAATAGAGATAAAGAACGTATTTATTTTCAATTAGGACCATTTAATTGACCTTCAACTAGATTTGAAAGGAACAATACGGACATAAAGTTACATTCAAATAATGCAAGTGTTTATCTTTTGTCTAATTTTAGTTTGTTAAGTATCGTGTTACTGGTGGTCTTGAATTTCCTTGCTGAAACACAAACCGGTCGCGTTCATTGCGCAGCAGGCAGGGAACCTCCAAAAAAATAGCACGCCTCACGGAGCACGCGCGCCACCTGACAAGCAACGTCCACTTAACACTGCTCAGCTTTTAATTACATACATTTGTATACCTATATAAGATGATAGAATATATAATTTAATTAACCCGGCCAAGTAAAGGTTTTTCCAATGAAGGGTTTTGACCTTTTTTCACCGTTCAAGAAAAACTTATCAAAAAATTCTCGTTTCTTCTTTTTTTATAGATTTTGAAGTCTACAATCTATGTTCTGTCTACCCAGTAAAGTTAAAGGAGTGTGATTCACAGTCATAAGTGTTAAATTTAAACAACCCCATGCAATGAATCAATACGTTTGAATGGAAGTCATAAAACTAAATTTATTCCCTTATTCGTTCATGAACAACAATCTAAAAATATTACGGGCCACCTGGCGCAGGCGCACTTTTGACTCGGAATGTTGCGGGTAACATTATTTACTATGGGACTCTAAACCGCTACAGTACTAACCCTTGACAATGTTTTTTTTTCTCAATGTGTGCACACAATTTAGAAGTACAATTCGAAGTTAATTGGTTTCGAAACATTTCTGACTTGAAATAGTTTTTTATATTGCATTATTTACTACGGTAGCGTTGTTATATTCGACACCGATTGTTTTATTTGAGAGTGATTTAAATTTTCCGTGTAATTTCCAAGCACTGTAAGATCTTTATATCTTTGAACAAGATCATGCCCCAAATAGCACTTGGGCAAATTATACTGAAGCAGATGTTGGCCATAAACTTTGAAATATCATGCCGCGTGAATCACAGCCGCCTGTAATGATACAAGATGTGTCAATAACCTTTACAAACGACACTCCGCTACAAAAAATACAT